ACATTTACTGGAGTGATATCTTTTTGTAATTCAATATATCTTTTCTGTTAAAATACATACTTTTTTTTAAGTTACATGATATAGGTTCATAAAATCCAGTTTAATTTTAAAATTATTTTTTTCTTTATGTCATTATAATAGTTTCTAGAGACTGGCCATCTGTAGGTTTTGTTTTTATATGTGTGTGCTAAATCCCTCCTCAAACTGTTTGTATCTTATTCCTTGTCTTTTGTGCATAAAGAGATTTCTGACATGTATTCAGCACATTTTTTGGAATAATCATTCAAGTAAATACTAGTGAGAACTTTTCTTTGAATTTAAAATGAAATAATGTTAAATCATATATTTATATTTTAATTAGATGTTGGTGGCATGGGAGTTAACGTGGAGTTACAGAAAATGTGCTTCACTGTCTTTACCAGCTTTGATTAAGCCATCTTTTATTTAATAGGAAATGAGTTTGGCAAAATTAGCTTCCTCTTATATGGGTAATTTAAAATAAGTAAACCTCTTATATGGGTAATTTAAAATAAGTAAACTTTGAAAAGTTGATAGATCTTCATTTTATGACTTGTGGAAATAGCCCTCAAAACTAGGTGATGTTGTGTCTTTGCAATATCTATGAAGTTTTAAAAACCTTTTAGGTATGTGTGAGAAAAGAATTTATTTGTCCTGCCCCCACCCATGTTGGACACCTGAGGCAATGAAAGCAAGGATATAATCTATGCTTTTGGAGAGTGGTGCTTGTACACAGGAACATTCATATATTAAAGCTGTGTGCTTTTATTTGTAACTCGCAGGAATCTCCCACCATCTCCCATGCCTGAGATCCCCGTTCACAGTCTGTCCTGAATAATCTCTCTCAGATCTGTGCATATTATTTCCCTCCCCTCCGCTTCCCTTTTTTTTTTTTTTTTTGGTGGAACCAGGGATTGAACTCAGGCCCTTGCACTTGCCAGGGAAGTGTTTATTGTACTGAGCCATCTCCCCGGCACCTTTCTCTTTCCCTTTTGTCCCTTCTTCCCTCTGCATTCCTTTTTGTAGTTATTTATTGCCTTTTGGCTTCCCAGGATTGTAACTAAGAAAACTTGTTTAGCAATGATCTCTCATTCCAGAACCTTATCTCTGGTGTGAGTTTTTACAGCTTGTGTGTCCTTGTCTGCTAATTGACCCAGGCAGTTCTAGAATGAAGGCTTATTAGAGTGGTTAATAAAATATGGAACAATTAAAATATTTTTACCCCTTACAGGCTATTAAGACATTTCTTTTCAAGGTAATTGTAATTTTCATACTGTATTTGTAATTGTACTTGTTTCTTGATATAGATTCTTTGGGGTTGCTGCTCACCCTGAGAAGAATGGAGTATCCCACAAAAACAATGAGTGTTTGTTTTAGAAGGAAATCATTACCTATTGTAGAGTAAATAGAGCTATTATAGAGTAAATATAGATATTGACATCAGCTTGTTTTGTTTTTCTCTCATTAGTATTATATGTAGATGTGGAATCTGATTTTCATGCTAAAGTTCCTGTTGTGGTCTGCAAAGATCGGAAAAGGTTGGTAAAAAGGAAGTGAAAGTAGTATTTTTTTTTTTTTTTTAAAAGTAGAAGCCAGGCATGATGGTACATGCCTATAACCCAAGCACTGGGGCAGCTGAGGCAGGAAAATCATCATGAGTTTCAGACCAGTCTGGGCTACAAAGTTAGTTCAGGCCCATCTAAACCACACAGTGAGACACTAGCTTGAAAAAAAAAGTAGTAAACTTCTCCAAAAGAGAAAATTATTTAAATTTCTTCTTGGATAGCTCAGCAGACTAAAGCACCTTCTTAGGCAAGCTCAGGGACCACAGTTTGATCCCTGGTACCACATGCCACGCCAGCCCCCAGGGTGGGCTGAGCCATTGATTGAAACTGGGCATGGTGGCACTCCTGTAATTCCAGTTCTGGGAAGGCTGAAAACAGGAGTATCACTATGAGTACAAGCTGTGTAGTGAGACCCTGTAACAACTAAATACATTAAAAAAAAAAAAAGATTTAAATTAAAAATAGAAAGTTTACCAAGTGCCTGTCAACAAGAAATAGAATTACTAGGGAGAGAAAAAAACTTTTTCCCTCAAATTCCTACTCTTGTTCAAAATTATTAAGCATCTATTTATATATAGGTTTACATTGCTCATACAATCATAAATATGAAATACCTCTTTTGTTAAGAATCTCAGTGTTTAGAATCTAGTTTTTGGTTTACTGAAATTGACTGTCATTGAAGACTAATTTTAATTTTTTCTAGTCAGATGTCTGTAGAACCAATAGGGTAAAGTGTTGTTGAAAAAGAAACTAAAATAAAATTATTTAAGATTATTACAAAAGACATGGAAAGAATACAAAAGTAGTAAAATGTTTTTTATTTGGTTGTTGATCCATTGTTTTTCTTACATTTTAAGATTTTTGTGTTTTTATTCAAGGATAGAAAAGTCTATGGAGATCTAGTTCAACTTTCTTACTATCTAAATTAAAAAATTGAAACTATAAGGGTTTAAGCATTTGTTCAAATTCATATCATTTAGGTGAAAACTAGAGTTGCAGTGGAGGCAGTCTGACTTTTATTTTTTATTTTCTACCATATTATATCAAATTACTTCTGTGTGGCAACCTATATTCATTCTTCCTCTGCCATCACAGTGCCTCCATTACACTTTTGTCATCTCATTTAAGGTATCTCGTATGTTCACTTGTCGGTTAAAAAAAAACCTTTTCTAATCTTTAATCTGCAAACAACATACAGTTTTTACAGGGGAAATAAGAGTCGAGCTGTAGCTAGTCAGTTCAGTATTCAATTTTTTTTTTTATTTACAAAGCAAAAACAAGTAGGAAGTGTGTTGTACTAACATTGAAGAGACTGATGGTCTAGTTCTCAAAAGTAAAATTAGAGGGTCAGCAAGATAGCTCAGTGGACTAAGCTTGCTTGACAAGCGCAAGGGCCAGGATTCGATCCCTGGCACCACGTGCCATGCCATCCCCTCGCTGAGCCGGCCACAATGTCCGGACTTGGTGGTGCATGCCTGTAATCCTTGCTCTGGAGAGGCTGAAATCAGGAGCATCACTGTAAGTCCAAGCTGTGCAGTGAGACCCTATGCCAAATACATTAAAAAAAATTTAGCCAGGCATGATCTGTGGTATATATCTGTAATCCCACTCTTGAGAGACTGAGACAGGAGAATCACCATGAATTCAAGTCCATTTTGCATTGTACATAGTGAGATCCTGCCTCAAAAAAAAAAAAAAAAAAAAAAAAAAAGTCATTTGAAGGATTCTTAATGCTTCTTTTGATGTTTATTTCCTGTAAACTTAAATACTAAATTGAGTTTTTTTTTTTTAACATTTTTATTTAGTGTGTGTGTGTGTGTGTGTGTGTGTGTGTGGCCAGCTCAGCCCACCAGGGGGCGCAGCTGGCTGGCATGTGGTGCTGGGGGATCGAACCATGGTCCCTGTACTTTGCCAAGCTTGTTCTAAGTAGGTGCTTTAGACCACTGAGCCATCTCTCCAGCCCCCTAAATTGAGTTTGAAATTTGTTTATGAAGTTTAAAACCATCTTTAATTTATATAGAATTATAATATAGTTTTTAGTTTTCTGTAATTATTAAAATATTTGTTTTTACTGGACTTTTTGGTTCTTAAAATATTTTCTATTGAAGGATTGAAGTATTTTGCTTTTTTAATGTATTAATACAATGGAATTGTATTTTTCTCATTCACAGTGGTTTACTTTGTAGAGTGAGTGCGGGAAATGACACAGCGTGTCTCACTACTGATTTACTTGCTGCTCTTGGCAAAATAGAACCTCTCTTTACTCCCTTGGTTGTAGCCTTTCGATACTGGGCTAAGGTAAGTGGAACAAAGAAAAAGTATCTAATCATTAATATAAATTGGGCTTTTTCTTATATTGACCATGTAACATGAATTGTAATGTGTAGAACAAAAGTTTGCCACACAGGAAGTAGTGTTATTTCTGATTTATGGTCATGAAATAAAGTTCCATAAGAATAAAATATCTTCCCTTATCTATGAGGGCGTACTTTCCAGGAACCCCAGAGAGTGATTCAAACAGTAGATATTTTTTCCTATATGTACATATCAGTATAAAGTTCAGTTATAAATAACATATATTAAGAGACTAGCAGCAATAATAATAAAATAGAACAATTATAAAGACACAGTTTAACAAAAGTTATTTAAACTTTATAAATTGTTTACTTCTGGAATTTATAATACTTTTTATGCTGCCAAGACAGACACTGGTGGTACATGGCTTTGATCCTAAACTTGGGAAACTGAGGCAGGATGATCACAAGATTAAGGCTATCCTAGGCTACATGGCCTCTCTCCCAGTCTTTTGTTATCTATGGGTAATTGATAAGGGAGACCACTATACAGACTTATTGAAGTTTAGAATTGTCATTATACTGTGTGTGTGTGTGTGTGTGTGTGTGTGTGTGTTTGTGTTTACTGTGGAAACATTTCATTCCACTGAGCCATCTCCCCAGCCCT